AGACATATGGAAAGAATTGCTGGGATAGTGTCACACTACTTGGCATTAAAGAAACAAGCCTTACTTCTATTGTAGCCCCTTAGGACAGACAATACAGTGTCACCATTGCTGTTAGCAGGCCACAGACCTTATTGCCACAAGAATGTAAAAGGCCTAAAGGTTTGAGAAACACGGTTGATCTTGTCTGGTCTTGAACTTCTTTGGCTTAGTTTTAGCTTTAGATTAGTTTTGAGTAACTCCCATTATTACCCCAAAGCATTTACCATGTACATTCACAGATTTTGCTAGCCCATTAACATTATATTACTGAAATTATAGACCAGTCAGAAAGATGTGCTAGCAGTCAGCTGCTTGGAAATGTGCATGAATAGCATCAAGCTGTCCCAAGAAGTCTCCCACTATCAACATCAGCACATCACCTGGTGAAGAAACCTGGACATTGACCAATGGCTGCACCATGTGAACAGAGGAGAGGAAAAAAAAAAACAACCACACACAAGAGACCCTCCACCACAGGTCACAAGCACACAGGTGAACATCAGAACAGAGAAAAGGAGTAGATGGTAGAAAGTTTATATAACAGTTTTAATTTCATTATGGGAATTAGCAACAATTGGAAGATTTAAATAGTAATTGTTGATATCATTGTAACTACAATAATAGCTTCTTGCTACTATTTTGACTAGATTGCTAAAGCAATTCATTTCACTAACAAAACATTCCAATTCTTCGCTCCACTTGGAATGAACACTTGGGCCCTTTTGAGTGTAACTTTATCAGCTTGTGTAGATAATACAGATATTGAGAAAAAAGTCTACATACTTAGCTCCTTTCACTATTTTCTTCCCTTTGTTTTTATTGACTACTTTTAATTGACTTTCTCTTTTAAATTGTGGAATATTTTCTGCAATCCCTTCCTGCCCTGAAGACTTGTGAGAAGAGTTTTCAAAGAATCTGCTGCCTTGTTCATATAGAGGACTTGACATGCATCTGCACTACGATGCCTGCGCTGGTGGTTCTCCCTTCCAGATAAACCCATTTTGTGATAAGTTATTTTATTCCAGAAACAATCTGCTGTGTCAGTTTACTCTCCCATAGCTGTACCTGTCAGTTTGCCTGTGTACAAAAGACCTAAAATGAATCTGATGTTCAGGTCTCTCTAGAGCTAAACTGATTCAGGTGCTTTCCTCCTTTTGGAATCACACTTCTATTTTCTTCATGCTTACTCCCACAGTATCATGCTTTCCTGTCAGGATATTATGTGCCAGTTTCCTCTTCACCTTCTGTTCCTTCTGCTCCAGTACATTTTCTCCAGTTCAGGCTCTTCAGCTTTTCTCCATCCTACCAGCTGAAAAGGAAAGAGGGATTGATGGAGGCAGTTTTCCAGCTAGTGGATTCTCAAAGCCTAAATGTGAATAAACTACTCCAGAGCACTAGTGGACACCAGGTGTTCCTACCAAACGGTTCATCTCACTTTACACCTCTACCTCAGGTCTCCAAGTGAGGCAGCCACCTTTAGTCAGGGAATAAACCTCTTTTCCTGTCAGAGGAGGACAGAGGGACCCCAACCTCCTGATCTAGAAACCTCAGTCAAGGGCTGTTCTCCTTTCTCATGAGCACTCACAGTACAGCAATAAGAGCATCTTCACCTTCATCTCAGCCTCCCTCACCACCGATCCCCTTCTCCCTCCAAGTAAGACCTATCCCATCTATAATAGCAGTTTTGTTTTGCACTCACACTTCTTTCCTTGTGTCTTTACAGTTATCTTGCTTGTTTGGTGTCTTTCTGGGCAGCCCCAGCTGTATCCATGCTGCTTTAAGCTTAAAAACAGCAATTACCATTTTCAGGCCACTGCTGGATCTCTGCTCTACTGCATCTTGCCATACAGTACAAACCTAACTGTTCCCTATGCTTTCTTCCGTGCCTTTTTAGAGCAGAAATCACATCCACATAAGCAAAACCTAACATTTTTATCTCCTACTCATCTCCAGTGTTTTATTACCAAACCGTTGAACAACAGCTAGGAGAGTTTTGGGAACAACTACAGCTTTCTTCAATGGTTAAAAATTGTTCAGGTATACCATAATACACATTTATACATTTAAACAGAAAAATTCTCTTATATTACCTTCAGCCCAGTTAACTACTCAAGATACTAGCTCATAATTGCACTTCACAGTAAAAAAATATTTCAGCTTCTTGGAACAATGTACATACCCAAATATACACATTTCCCCATGCAGATATAAATATCTCTACATCCATATGAAATTTACTCTAAATTTAGACTGTTCATTGCACACCTTATCAAAGCAGCAGCTGGCAACCCTTGAGAGTATGGAAACACTATTTTAAGAGAGTCTGTTGTGCTAATGTACTCCAGCTCCCACCTACAATATGCTGATACATTGTTCTAAATATACACTGATACCAAGCACAGGTATTTAATAAAGATATAGAAGACCATAACACTAAACCAAGGAGAAAAATGGTTACTTAATACACATTTTTAAAGTGTTACCTGTGTATGTTCCATCACAGGAACACATACTCTAATCCAGATTCTTTGTAGTCACTTCTGCCTGCAGGTTCAGGGACATAATGGTTGGATTGGTTTTTTTGGGTTCCTTCTTCAGCAGGTATTTTTCCTACAGTATTAGAAAAGGGGGGGCAGTTATGGAATTCACATGCTTACCTTAAGATAAGCAACCATTTCTTATTTTGAATATTTGCTTATGTATATGCACTTCACTTTCATTACAAATAGTAGCAACATACATAGTACACAGGAGACAGGTGCTACCTAAATGAGTCTCAGAAGGAACTTGGCTGGTGAATCTATTTAGGTGCCGCGATGAAGAGACGGGACACAGCTTGATGCAAGCAAGATGTCGATTTATTAGGATTTTAGGTTCCTTATATCCATAGCAAAGGCAGCGTGTCTTCTACTGATTGGCTAATTTTAGGCACTAGACATTTACTCATTGGTTAATACTAACATACCTTCCTTGCCCAAACTACAAGGACCTTAGCACATCTTTTTTCAACACAATTTACCGTCTGCATCTCTCAACAGAGCAAGCACTCTCTGTTCCTTCTAGGCAACAGTGTCACCTAGTTCCTCCCAGGGTTTGTGGCCAACAAGTTCCAGCACGTCCTCCTTTATCAGTTGTTTAAACACTTGAAGTTTTGTTGAGGCTAGCTGAGCTCTGGCCTTCATTTAGGGAACTCACTCTGAACCACAGTTAGCTGCACACCATGTTTAACAGAGGAACATGTTTAAAGCTACAGGTGGTGCTTGAGGTCAGCAAAGCACCTGTTCTTTCTCTCAAGGGGAGACCCAAAATGGTCATTTCATAATATAACAGAACAAATACAAAAGCCTACTTAAAAACTACTTCCAGGTTGATAAACATTAGGTTATTTAATCTCCCACCTCTCACATGCCAACAATTTGGATGGGGAAACATCAGAAAAACATGCAAGTTTCTTTGCACCTTTGTGTCTTGCTGCAACTTTGTTGGAATATAGATGTAAAAGATAATGCCCTCTTGTCTCAATTTGGTTAAAAAAAATTGAACACGTTCATCTCTAAAAAAAAATAATCTGCACAGATCCTTATGGGCTTGTGTCCCTGCTTCCATAGTTGTCCTTAAGAGCAAAGGAAATCCACATGTTGAAAAAAATATATATATCTGGAAAAAGCATTACATCTGAAAAGGTAGGCCTACTAAGTCATCAGCTGTTAACATCAACAAAAATGTATTCCATATACAATGAAAAACATCAACCAGCCTTCAATTAAAGGGCAGAGTTCATGGTTCTCTTCAGACATCCAGGATGAAGTCCACTATGTCACTTCTCTAACAAGTTTTTGAATGTTGGTAAGAAATTGCCTCAAGAGTTACACTGGAGTAATTTGATTAGAAAGATTAGTGTTTTTAACAATTCCTTTGGCAGGTTTGCAAGTAACAATGTTTTAGTTACCAGAAGATGAAAGAATAAGAGATCCCATCACTAAAGGATAACGTGAGTACTAATTCAAAACACAGCAGTAAATAGAGAAGAGGGGGGGAGAAGCTTTTATAAGAGAAACAGTGCCTTCATTCTAGGATTTTAGAGGAAACAAAAAAAAACTTGTAGTAAAATTAAGTACTGTTGGGTAACAAAACCAAACCTTTTCAAAATTATTCTTCTGTTAAAGTACAACTGGAACACTCAGACTATAAAAGAAAACCTGACAATTAGTTAAATACATAGAAGATCAAAGACAACCAAAATATCTGCATTAAACAACAAAATACTGACAAGTGTCCTTAATTAGCATTTTGAGTCATTGCTCAAATATACACCAAGCTTTGCTGCTACCAGCCTTGTTTATTTTCCTCCCCTTGAAGCTATAAAATATATGATCTTCAATACTGTATGGAAAACCATTTTATCTAACACTTTTAAAGCCTTCTTTTACATTACATTTTAGCCCTAAGCTTGCAAAAAAAAAAAAGACAGACCAACCAACAAACCACCCCATACAGCTGTTGTGCCATTCCCATCTCTGCACACAGGTCAAGCAGAGGCTGTGGAGACAAGAAAAATGACACACATTGCTCCTTCAGACAAAGGGGTTTTTTATTATTGGTTTAAGAAGGAGAAGCACACCCAGTTCAGTAGATATTGAATAGTAGGGAAGTCAGGAGATAAATGCTTTGCTTTCAGAGATAACAATTTAAATAAATATTTACATTTAAAGCAGAAGTCTACAGAAACTTGATTTAAAAATTTTCTATTTCTTTCTGGGGTATTCTTTTAATGGAAAAGAAAGGAACTCCTTGTCTATGGTGAAAACTCATAGTCATTGTTCTACTGCAGCATGAGCCAACAATGTCTTTCAGTTCTTTACACAGTTTTTGTAATGTTCCCACAGATTCCAGAGGGTTACAACGACAAGTTTCACATACACCATTCTCAAAGCAGTTAAACTTCCTGCATGTAATTTCTTTCAGGCTTTATTGTGAAGAGAAGCAATACTTGATTCAACAGCAGTCAGTCTTGTCTCCAGAGCCTTTAATACAGTTCCTGCCTGTAAACAGGGAAAGATGCTTGGTTAGAAACAGAACTTGCCAATACAAAGAGCAAGCGTAGATGCAAGTGCTCGAATCTGAACTTGCATCACCAATCCCATTCAATTCTATTCCTGCCACTTTCATAGTTTGAAAGTTCACTCAACTCTAACATTAACTCTCCATTACTTTCTCAAGTCTATAATTGTCTCCAATCTTGGTGTCAGTTCCACACATTCAGCTTTTGCTAGACAACCGTCAGCTTTCAGAGATGACTTTGACAGAGTTGCTCCCAACTGGTTGCTACCTGCAATCAGAAGTTTTCAGTGGAGCAAAATGTCAACTTTCTTTGTAATATTTCAATACAAAGTTACAGAAAAAGCATCGCCAGTTTACATGAAAGACAGAAAAGACATGACTAAAAGTTAAGTGAAAAATCTGGAGAAGTGAATCAGAACGAATTTAAATGAAATTTCTAATTACAGACATAGATAGGAATCTAAAGCCGTGCTTGGTAAACAGAAAATGCTAATTACCATTAAAATGGAAGGAAAAGTTACTGAAAATGTGCATAACACCAGATATTAATAGCATGAAGTATTGCAGCATATGTTAAAACCCACAGAACTGTCTGGATGAAATAAGCTGTTTTGTAGAAACTAGTCATTCAGATTTCATAGAGGCGATTTAAACAAAGAATTATACAAGGTTAAATCTTACCCTTTGTAGCACCTCTTCCAAGACAGCTCGACTTTCAAGAGTTAAAGGTTCCTCATCTGTAAGAGCTTGCTTTTCTGAGGATCCTAGAATGTAACTGATAAGCTACAGTTTAGATCACGCACTTTTGACTCTGAAGGCAAAAAAAACAAATGCAGGACTCATCCATTGTTCTCAATGATTATGATTAATACACTAGCAAGGTGGAAGCATGAATTCAGTGACAGTAAACAGAATATCTATATAAGGTAATCTTGTAAACAAACTGTACAGAGGAACAAAAACAGTTTTAAGCACAGAACTACCAAGACACCACTGCTTAATGAAAGTTAGAACTCCAAAGGACAGTCAGGAATTTCACAGGAGATGGTGAAAAATTATGCAGATATTGAGAACAGCATAGCACTAACTGGGAAAACTAGCCATCAGTATTACTGCCCAAGAAAATGCATTTTGTCACTACGTCAGTGTTTCAGAGAATTTTACTGCCATGCAAAAAGCAAAGTAGCATAGCTGTGGAAAAAGGGAGAAAAAAACCTATCCAGATTAGGAAGGTGAACATCCATGTAAATACAGCAAAATAAACTGGAACTTAAAAAAAAGCAGAAACATTCAATCTAGCCCAGACAGAAATAAAGGTAGCCTATCGCCATTTACTACAGTAATCCTTGGATAAAAGCACTCTGGTGTGGAGACTTAATCCAGGATATAGTTATTGAAGAGTACTTTAAGACCACTTTTAAGTGCTGTAAACCAGTTAAAACCAATACAATAGCATAGCTTCATTATCTAGACAGTTTTTGACTGTAAGACAGTTAAGTGAGAGCTTCAAGCACATATTCAGTCTTAAGATTTGCTTTTGCCTACCTTAGCGAGGAAAAGGCAGACTTGACCAGCACAGATCAGACGTCAACCCAAGTTCTGCTTAAGCTCCTCTCCCCATGTTCTCTGATGATATTTACCTCTAATAGCTTACAGCCAGGCCTATTTGGTACTACCTATAACTACAGGCTCAATTTATGTTGTCTAAAGCAGAGCACATATGTAGTCTTCTGATCAAATGAGAAGGAAACCTCCTGTGTTGCATACCTACTGTTACTTTCCTGGGTGGTATGCAATTTCACATACAAAAGGCAGCCCTGGTATTTTCTTTTTTCCAGGACTTGTCTAACATTACACAGACAATATTCCTCCCATTTCAGCACTACGATGTTAACAGCAGTAGTCCAGAAAACCACTCTGGAACAAAGTGGCAGAAACAGCTACCTCTAGGCGTTCCACAAACACAGACAGGAACATCCCTCAGTAAGATGCGTGGTGGGTGAAGCACAGCTAGCAGGCTTATGAATAGAAATCCTGCCTTTACCTTTCAATTGAGTCAACATTGAAGCAGAACAAATCCCTCTTGTAGTCGAGATGCTTTGGGGTGCATCTGTAGATGTTGCCAAGTACCATTGAGCAGCCAGAGCAGAATAACGTTTCAACCATGCTGTAAAGTAAGATATGTAACATTTATTCAGGAGAAAAGAAAAAGAAACACCTCTCCCTACCCCTATTCTAAAAAAAAAAAGTTTGAATTACGATGTTTTTAGAGCACTCACTCCTACTGTACACGCTGTAATTACAAGCACTTATCTTCCAGCCTATGTTCCCAGGGCTCCTCAGGCTGGCTCACCCCAGCAGGACTAACACAGAACCACTTTGCACAGACCCCCCAAAAGAAGCCTTCCAGGCCCAGGCCCTGGCTCCCCAGCCCTGTCCGGAAGAACAGGACCCGCGGGGGGCCGGTATCAGGCTTCTTCCTCGGCGCCTTCCCGCGCTGGCGGGAACCCCACCCCCTCCTTCCACCCCACAGCAAGCGGGGCTCCGGGGCCTCACCATCCGCACTCGCCGGGCCGGTTGGAGAGCTTCCG